CTATGGTAATTGGTGCTACCGCTGGGGCAAACGTCTGATGGAAGCTAAGAATACGAACGAAATGAAAAGCGGTCTGCCGCAACGTGATATGCAAGCGATACGCGAAGTGCTGGGCGGCAGCGTGAGCGATGAGGCAATTAACCAGGTGGTGAACGTGCTGAATGGTCAGCAGTTGAGCAATATCGATGCAGAGGAAGATATCGAAAAAAGTGAGCTCAGTTCCAGCGAGCTAATAGAGCAGGCGTTGCGACGCGTCGACATCTTAGCCGATAAGCCGTCGGAGCAAATAGCGAGCATCATAAAGATATGGCGACAGGCGCATCGTAGCGTCTATGTATACTATGAAATGGCGACGAAAGCTTATTTCAATTATTTGTCCATCGGCACGTCGCAATGTGAGGCAAAGAATACGTTGAGTGACTGTACGCCCGTTACCGTTACGTTGCGCTTGCTGCGCTTGATTGTCAAATATGCCGCAGGCCTGCAGGATGTGTTGGAGGAGGGTTTGCGCACTACACCGCTGCGCCCATGGAAGGTCATCATACCGCAGCTCTTCAGTCGACTCAGTCATCATGAGCCATATGTGCGTAAGAGCGTCGCAGATCTACTTTGTCGTTTGGCGGAGGATCGTCCGCATTTGATTATATTCCCTGCTGTGGTGGGCGCGCATCAGGAATTAAAAGAGTCTACGCCACCGCTCCTTGGCAATACGCTAAATGATGCCAACGCTAGCAACAACAAAGAGCAACAATCTAGCACGCAGCTGTCGAATTGTTTCCGTTCGTTGCTGCAAACGCTGTCACAGCAAGCGCCAGACACAGTAGCGCATGTGCAGCTGTTAGTGAAGGAATTAAAGCGCGTTACACTGTTATGGGAGGAATACTGGGTGCATTCGCTATCACAGTTGTACAGTGAATATGCGGCACTGTTTAATGCGCTGGAAGCGGAATTGAAGAAGGCCGGTGGTACCGCATCAGAGAAAATAATCGCTAAGTACGCGAAATTGATGAGTCACGTGGTCTATGATATGCAGCGCATTGCCGCGGTTACCTCAAAATCAGCTGACACCAATTACGAACGTAATTTCCAAGAACGCTACAGCGCGCTAATCGCCAGCACAATAAATGAGCTGAATCAGCCCTTTAATCCCGCTAAACCGTTCGACGGTTGGATGCGCATCAAGCAATTGTATGGTGTTTTCCAGCAGCGCTCACTGCGTGGCTACGCGTCCACACTGAAAATCGCCGATCTCAGTCCGGTGTTGGAGAATATGCGCAACACGGCCATATCCATGCCGGGCGTCGACACCTACGCTAAGGAACCCGTCTACATAAGGTCGGTAGACAGCGCGGTACATATTTTGCCAACCAAAACTAAACCGAAGAAGTTGGCATTTTACGGTAGCGACGGACGCAAATACACTTATCTATTTAAGGGCTTAGAAGATCTGCATTTGGACGAGCGCATAATGCAGTTCCTTTCGATTTCGAACTCTATGATGGCGCGCGCCAATATGGGCGTAGACTCATTGCAGCGCGCACGCGCATTCAAAGCGCACCACTACTCAGTCATACCGCTGGGCTCACAATCCGGTCTAATCAGTTGGGTTGATGGTGTGACGCCGCTTTTTGCCATCTATAAGAAGTGGCAACAGCGTGATGCTGCCTTAAAACAACAACAAAAGGAACGTCAAAATACACAGCAAGCTGGCGTGCAATCAACGGAAGTCGCACCGGCTGCCACCCGTCCATCAGAGCTGTTTTACAGCAAATTGACACCGTTGTTGGCGGAGCAAGGCATGAAAATCACCGATCCACGCAAGCAGTGGCCACTTGCCACATTGCGCCGTGTGCTTGAGGAGTTAATCAAGGAGACGCCGCGCGATTTGCTCGCCAAAGAGTTGTGGTGCTTCGCAAATACGGCGGCCGATTGGCGCAGCTCGGTGCGCAATTACTCGCTGTCCATGTCCGTAATGTCCGTTATAGGCTATGTTATCGGGCTGGGCGATCGTCACTTGGATAATGTACTGATCAATTTGACTTCGGGCGAAATCGTGCATATCGATTATAATGTGTGCTTCGAGAAGGGCAAAACATTGCGTGTGCCCGAGAAGGTGCCATTTCGCATGACACCCAATTTGGAGGAAGCTTTGGGTATAACCGGGATTGAGGTAAGTCAAAAATATTTAATGCATATACTATATGTTTGAAGAAAGTTGCTTATTTATACATATAGTGTTATAATCCCGAACTGATTAAAGAAGATGTTGATATGATTTTCTTGACAGATCAAAATCAAATGTTTTCCCAAAACCAAAGTTCTTGAAAATTCTTAAGTCTAAAGTGTTTGTTCACCAAGGATCACCTAGTGCTTCTACTGCCTCTTAGATGTCCGTATATACTACTTAAAACATCCTAATGTGATAGCGATAGGTATTTTCGAGGACATGTTTCCACGCAATTTTAATACCATTTTCCGACCGACACTTAATCACGAGATTTAGGCTGTTGAGTGGATTATCTCACTAATCTACTAGATTTAGCAAGGTTTCGCCATACAAAAATTATACTTTTTAATCTCGTCACCGAGGAGATTTGAAGCTTATCTACTCGAAATCTCCCTGCGACTCTGATTTAGCGCCATCTGTTTGTAGGTAGGGAAATTTATCACATTATCATAGCTGTCTTAGACACTACAAATTGTCCAAAAAAACAAAAAAATAAATAAAATAAAAAGTAAAAAATTAAAGCAATATCAAGTAAATAAGCGAAAATGGCAGAAAATAGTATCAAAAAATGAAGAGTAATGTGTAGTGAGGCTGCCGAAGCTGATATAATACAAGTAGAATTGCGGCGAGAAAAAATCTTCGATCGGCTAGTCAAAACCGCTGTTTTATAAATCTTTAATGGCAGAGATATATACCAGATTTGATACATTTTTGATGCAAGCGCCATTTTCTTCGGGAAAAGATCTAAATCTTTCAATAGATTGCACGATAGTTTCAGTAAAAAGTCAGCCTTAGGCACTGGGCTCTACATATTCTGTATCTGGGGGCCATATCTTAAAGACTTTATTTGTGCTATGTTTTAATACCGTAACTTCATTATACAATGTAAAGTGAAATTTAAAATTGTGAAATACTGGAAGTAGGCGTGGTTATAGTCGTTCATTTCACAATGTAACACCTAATTTGGTTGAAATGGCTTGAGCAGAACCTGGTAGAAGACTTCACCTAAAGGTAGGCCATGTCCATTTTTACACCGTTATCTATGAAGTCCTTCCTGGCCATCCGTTACAACGACATTCGAGTCTAACGGACCCGCAGTTTTATCCGGCCAAGGACTGTCAACTCGACAGCATTCCTCCAAATTACTTCAGGGATGTTTTCTACCACTTCAACCACAACAACAACCTTCTTGGTTATGACATTTAATGTTACTGACGGTTTTCTTTAGTAAGTTATCGCACTTTTAGTAGTTTCAAGATAACCGTTATAGTGGGTTGGTTTATCAACCGATTCAGTTGTCGGAAAAATTTTATTGAAACTTTACACTTTGTTTTTTTGTAATCCAAGTAAAGGGGGTACAGAACAATGGCGGCAGGTCTGCGACGACTCGTCCTCTTAATGTAAGTCCTAATATTCGTTAATAAAATTAATTTGTACACTTTTCCGCATCCGTGGGACTAGAAAAATAGAGAAAACATGAAAAATGCAAAAATTATGAGCTCAAAAAATCGATTTTTGGCTCTTTTTTGTTGACAATTTTTTTTTTTAATTAAAAGTTTTCAATATTTTTGGCAAATTATAGTTTAACGAATGCACAAACTCCTGATAAACATGTGTAAAAAGTTGCATTGCGATTGCTCAATTCCGTGGTTTTGGGAAAAACGCATTAACGCCACGCCGCGGCGGACCAGTGCGTTTGACACCGCTCCAACAAACGCCCAATAACTTTCGTAATTTAACAGATTTCATCTCGCAATTTTGAGAGCGTATTTTTCAAAGATGTATTTGAAGATGCAAAAAAATAAAAAGCGATCAATACAACGTTTGAAACGATCAATCATGCATAGATTTTTTATGTCATTTATAGGAATGTCTTCAGCACCTCGGTTACGGCTTCTTCAATGGCTGGGATATCATCATAAAATGCGCTTTTTATATTGGTGTTTACTTTTGGTAATACAAAATAGTCACATGCTGATAGATCAGACGATTACGGAGTTTGATCGGGGTGAAATCCGTTTTTTCGTTTAATTTTTTATTTATTTAATTTATTTGGTCCTCATTTCATTCAGTTAAAACTCTCCAAATAGTTTTTTTTACTTGTATTCAAACCCTCAGCCAACATTCTCATAGTAAAATTAGCATCGATATCAATAATTTCAGGGACTTCTCCATTAATTCAGCACGATTATTAGCTCCTGGACGACCCGGCCTTTGGTCGCTCAATGTTGCAGTATTTAAGTATTTAAGACTAATTTTATTTGCAATTACTTTTATATTTGGTATTCGGGCTTTCTGAAAGCAGTTATCTTTTTTTATACTTTGAAAGTGGTATATTAATGTAACGCCCAGAAGGAAACGTTCTGGAAGAAACATAGCTGAGTTGATTAAGCCATGTCCGCCTATCTGTCCGTCTGAGACTTTGAGCTATCTATCTATTTGTTGGAACCGCCAATATCGTACCACTATAACAGTCTTTGTACGAGAAACTTTTTAGCTGACAAGATATCTTACGAAATTTGGCATGGATTAATATCCAAGGCAACGGTGCGATCTCCGAAGATATTGTTTCCATCGGACTACTACAGCATATAGCTGCCATACGAACTGAGCGATCCAAATCAGGTTCTTGTATAGAATCTTTTTGTTTGTGAAGGTCATTATAGCTTCAGTTTACGTTTATTTCTGGGTTTTTTGTATATTTAATGAGCTCTAAAACTTTTTATTTTTTAAATTTCATATACATAAAATAAAGATTTCTGCTTTAGTACAATTGGCTTTTCATATGTAGTATATTAGTTTTCAAGATAAAAATTTTGATACACTTGTTTTTCTCACAGTTCTTTTTAGATGTTTTTTGTTTATAGTTGTTGGCAATTTTTACACTTTTTTGAAGTTATTCATAGTTTTACTTTTATTTAATATTTTTTGTACCCTATTTTGGCTCTCACTCGCCTCAGTCATATCTGCACTACTTCACTCTCACCTTCCTTATTGTTCAGCCCACTACATTCAATTACATCGTTATGTTTGACCGGCTCAGCCGACGGTATTGGTATAATGGATATTGTTACAGTGCTATGCCGTCGCGGCGAGCTTTGTACTGAGTCCACGCTATATACGACCAAATCCATATTATTCGGCTTGCTGCGATTCGGATTTTTGCAACGCAACAAACGCCAATAGGCGCGTCGAAACGTTGTATTCTTCCAGCAATAGATCACCGGATTCAGAGCAGAATTGAACATGGCCAAGGAGAAGGCTATCTTGTACAGCATCACCGATATATTGTAGACATTCAGTAGCTCCATGCAAACGACAATGAAATAGGTGAGCCAACAAATGGAGAAGCAGCCCATGATGAAAATGACAACCTGTGAATGAATAGTGAAAGTAACTGTTTATTACAAGCATAATATATATATATATATATATATGTATGAAAGACGTAGAGCGCGAATAGTGTGCGGCTTTTGACAATTTATATTCGTTTAATATTTGTCAAAATAGGTGCTTGTAAAAGTCTATTATAATCATGTTTTGTGTGTCGTAACTCTTTATGACAGCTTCATATTTATGTACATATTTATTTGACAGCGATTTGTTTTATGCTCCTTAATGTTCTTGACATTGCCGAAGTATTTTACGATTATTTATAGAGACCATTGATATAGAAGCGCCATTTCACTTTGTTTTATGAGCGCGATAAGCGCAGGTTTGTTGCCTATTTACAGGCGCACAACCAATGTTAATGTAATGTTGTACATCTATGGTCATTAAAATAGGTACACTCTTTTATCTGCATGGCAGTCAGTGATTTTTACATACTTTTCACGCATTATTTTGTTTATTTTGGCAGTCATTGACTGTCATCGATTCTGTTTCGGTAATTGTTGATGTTGAAAAAGCTTATGCTATAGAAGGCCAACTGTCGAAACTTTCGATAAAATAATGAAAGTCGTCGAGTTCGACATTAACTCAAAACCAAATCTGTAAAAATCGACTATCTCAGTGATGCCAATAGGGCGGAGGATTTCTATGCGAATGGCATTATGAAATTACCTTCTAAATGGTCACAAGTCATCGAACAAAGAGTGCCTATTTGATCAATATATCCATGCTAAATAAAACTTTAATTTAATAAAATAATGGAGTTCTTTTTACTGTACCTTACTATACCTTAAACCAAATGCTAAATGAGGTACAAGACTTAGTGACTGCCTACTTTCATAGAGATAGAATAGCACGCGGTCATACCACTTAAATGAGACATTCTCTCCCTCTCTGCTCTAAAATCGATCGAAACGAGTGAAGCAGAGGCAATTCGTCTGGCTTATCGTTATTTCGAGTTCGTTGAAGTTAATCAACGAGAGGCTAAGTAAAGGTGCTAATTCTACTGTGTTAGGTAGAGGCGACTATAGTAGTAACCAAAAAAAGACTGCTGACTATTGCCTTCCACGAAACACCTGGTTAGCCGTGGAACAAGTAAAAACTTCTCAAAGACCACAGCATATTATATATTATTAAAGTCTTTAGATGATCTAAGCGCTGTGTTGCTAAAAACACTTTCCTGTGTCTGTTACATAACGTTCCAAAGAGTTTAGAAAAATGGAGTCGCAAATTAAATAGTTTGGAGTCTACATATGTCGCAGACTATCTCAGGACAGTTCGTATATTTTCCTGGGTCGTTCGTTTTGTTTTAACTAACGAGCAACGCTCTCGCAGAGTCAGTTGGCAGTTGTCTATTTATTGACGTCTTATTCCAATACTGTAATGTTTCACTTTTTAAGCATGTGTAACTCTTTCGCTGTCCGTAACTGTACATACGGCACATTATTGTTTGATTATCACCAAAAACAATTCGAATGGCAGTATCAATAACGGCAATAAGCGCCGTACTATACGCTTACCTGCATGGATTTCCAATCTGGCATTCGCCGCGACTGCTTTTTGCTGCTCCAACTCTGCACTTCACGCTTGCAACGCGATTGTTCCGATTGCTTGGCGGCCTCACGCATTATACGCCAATAAATCAAGAGCATTAGCGACCAAATGATGACAAAGGCCGGCGTTATGATGCCTGACATATACCAAGTGGGCAGAACCTGATAGAATTCACATTCGATCGCGGTTTTAAAGCGGTTCCAAAACACCGGCACAATGGCCACCGTGGCACCTGCGGTCCAATTCAATGCGATTATGATGAAGGAGGCGCGACGCGTCATAAAACTGTGGGAAATGTGTGTGTTTTTTTTTTTTGGTTTTTGTAAAAAAGTCTTACAGGCTACAGGTAAAACTTACCGCCGATAGTGCAACGCATACACAATTGCTATATACCGATCCACAGCGATCGTGATCAAAGTCAATATTGAAACGCAGCAGCAGAAAATGATGAGAAAAAATCGCAGCAGGCAAAGATGTTCCAATTGGCCGAAATTAGGACCAACATAGAAGGCGATGTGGTAGGGTAGCGACACGCCGACTGCAAAATCCGATACCGCTAGCGATAGTATGAACATATTTGAGATTAGGCGGCGCAAACGGCGACAGGTGGTTATGGCTAGTATGGTGAGCGCGTTGCCAGCTAGTATGCAAATCATTATTAGCACATTGCAGGTGACCCAAAATATGGTCGACTCTGCGATGCCAGCGGGGATGATGTGATTAGGCGTTACAGAAGACAGTGTTGCTGCTGTGGAGCTTACTGTTTCTGCAGTTGTTGTTGTTATTGCGACCGCTGTGCTTGTTGTTATCGTGTCTAACAATATTGCCGGGATATTTGCACTTATTTGCAATTCCATTTCGTTGTTTGCCATTATTGTGTTTGCTTGCCGTTGTTGTTGTAAATAAGTTAATTCGCGCGCATCACATTTTTGTTGATCAACCGCTTCAAACATATGATAATATTTAAAAAGCGTTAAAAATGCTGTCACTGACATTCACAAATGCGGTTATTTTTTTCACAAAAAGACAAAAAAAGAAAACAAAAACAGAAGTGGAATGAGACCCTTCAATAGTCTGCCGCACCTCTAAAAACGTTTATGTGTCAACTGCTCGGCAACTGGTAGAAGACTGCGCTCTGTGTTGGTCGTGGATTCCATAATCGCATTGCTGATTTTCCCACGCCACTAATAATATTCCGGTATATCTCACCTTTTTCATTTCATAAATATCCACTCCATCATTGGGGAAATACTCGCGATTACGTGCCCTGCTCCGTCGGTGATAAGTGAATTTTGGTTATTACACAGGTGAAAGTGAAAATGTTGTTTTTCTAAATTAAATAATTGTTAAAAGCTTTTAGACGATTTAATATGTACTATAGAATATGCGCAATCATCTTTTCAGCACTACAACTAAGTAAAACATCAATATTTATATGCATACATACTTGCAAACACGTTTTATACATTAAATCAATTTACATCAATCATTATCATAAGCCTTCCTCTCTCTAATCTCTCCTAAAAGCAACTACCTAAAAAAAAATAAGTGCGACTAAGGAGTGATTTGCATGAAATGCAGTGATTTGTGCTTGAACTTGATTTGACGTTGTAAAAACAATCTTCCGGCGAATAAAAAAGAAAGGCTGTTAACTTCGGCTGCACTGAAGAGCTGTAATATTCTTGTCGTAGTGGTTATCTAGTGTCCGCTTGGGTAGTAAGGCTCGGCTTGGTTGTCATCGAAGTCATCTTACAGTAGGCCCAGTAAACGTGCTGTTTCGAATGTGGTTCGCTAGGCATGCAAAGAGGTGGTTATATTCATTCGGGGATTCGAGGTTTAATTTGTTACATTATCCAAAACGAAGTTGCGCAAGGGTTACTCTAGATTCTCGGGGTAACTCGAGCTCTTCGCCTGCAATGGGTAGTGGTTTAACTCCAAGTACGCCATTCCCTAAAAGATAGTCGGTGAAGCTGTTGATGGCTCCATTGTGAATGGCGGTTGGTGCGTGTCTAAAGTTTGTCGCGTCCGAAGTCTTGTCGACGTATTGTTCGATGTCGTCGGCGTAATTGAGTAAAGAACTCTGGATATTCCTAGGAGGCGCCTCCGCTTCAAGCAGACGACTGCAGGAATGGTCTCGCTGTGTAAATGTTGAATAGCAGGCATCAAGAGACATTCTGTAATCGTTCAGGGTGGAACAGGCTGTTGAATGTAATATCTAAAATCTTACAGTTGTTGACAGTCGGAATTTTAATGTCATCGACTATGATATTAAGATCCTGTTTGTACTTCTTCGTTCGGTTAGTGAGTTGCTGTTGAGGTTTTAGTGGAGGAGTGTGATCCCCCACGACAGCCGTTTTTACGTTACGGGAATTTAACCCCTTCGGCGATCTAACCCACTGTGGATCGGTAAGTTTTAGGTTAAGTTTGTGATCACTGTAGCAACTCCTAACAGCAGGGTTTCTCCGCATCTTCCTGACCGCGCTGGCATTGAGTCCAATTCGGGCCCGGAAGAGTTTTTTTTGTTGCGCTTGCACTAAAAGGTTCCATCCAAACTCCGCCTCGGCTAGGTGCAATAAATGCCTGACTATGTTTTTTAAATTCATATAAACCTATATGTAAACTGTAACTTGTATGAATATTTTTGAAATTGAATAATAAATATAAGTTATTGATCCGAACATTTTGTTTCGTGCTAGATTATGTGCATGTTTCTCTCATTTTCTGTATCAAATTCATTCAAAACTCGATTGTATTTAATCTTTCCAAATTTTTAAATGTGATAATTCGACTTATATCCTAATTGCCTCAACTAATAGAACCGATTTGAACATGATATACGAGTATATCGGAAGATTAGAAATCCTCATATACGATCTAGGTGGTCTCAATTTCTTTATAGTATAGCTTTGTTGAATCTTAATTTATTATTTGGGAAGTTCAATAAAAAGTTATGTGGTAAGTAGAGATAGCTATGGAGCGTTCCGAGTCTAAATTTAAGGTTATTTTTAGTAGTTATAAATTACATGTCTCGTTTTGTCCGGGGTAAACTCCTAAACTACTGAACCGAACCGTTTAGAAAAATTTAGCACATTGTGTCCAGTTTGATTCAACTTGAAAGATTAGTATAATCTCAAGTACAATCTCTTGGATTCTTATACCGGCAATAACGTTTTCACCTTTATTCGTAAATAATATTTTAATTGTATCAAATAGTTCATTATAGCCACAGTAACGCGTGACCGGATCTACTAGTTCTTATATAAGAGGTGGGCGTGCGGTTTTCAACTGAGTTCAACCTGTTTTATATTTCTATGCAATATGTTCCGAAAGTATAAGATTTGGAACCGATGAGTGTATTTTAAATAAAGTGAATACTATATTTAAAGAATGAAATCAAATAAGAGAGAAATAAGATCGGCGTTCAATTTGACTAGGCTCTTTTAAGTCCAGCATGCTTAAATTATCCGAATTTTCAGTAAAGATAAAAGCACAAGTCCATCATATGTTAACTATAGCTTCTGGCTGGGATTAATGCCAATTTTCATTATCTTGTGACTCTCATTCTGGGGCTGGAAGCTACTGAATGAGAAGCTATTTTTATTCTGAGTATATATTTTTGCAAAATAAAACTGCAAACAAAATTTTTGTCAACTAAAAAGTAAAAATCATTAATATCTCAGTTTTTGGCTCTGACCAACTGAGGAAACTCTCCTGTATATTATAATATTGTCTAAAACAAAACAACGATAAAAACCGCTAACAAAACATGTATGCATACTGCTGCAATTTGCAGAGCTTAGTTGTTGTAATGCATGGCTACATCAACATTGTATTCTCAGATAAGAAGCTTAATCACTAATCTATCATCGCGGGAGGTTATCCGAGGGGGTACGTGGTATATTATATGATAAAGAGTATGTTTCTAAGTATTCTGAACTATAAATGAAATTCCCTACTTTGTTGTTGTTACATTACACAAGAGCTAGTAATCGCCTTAATACACTTAAATAATATAATTAAATAAATAAATACTAAAGTTGAATTTGCATACGTTTTTTTAGGGCACATACCGCCTGGGCTGTGAGCATGTGCTAAAAATATTGCGTAAAGAGCGTGAAACATTACTCACCCTGCTGGAGGCATTCGTTTATGATCCCTTAGTTGATTGGACGGTAAGTGACGATGGTACCACGACTGTAGCACGCGCCACCTCAGCGCACGCAGCTGCTTTGAGTCTGAATGCATTGGACGCGGTGGCGGCGAGCGTACAAAAGGAGGGTAACACAAAACCCAATGGACCCACAGACGACGTAATGCAGCGAAAACCGAATTGGGAAAACACACGACTGTCGCTAGAAGTGCGGCTGCACGAGCTCAAACCATTTTGGACACAATACAGGTGAGAGGAATGCCTTTTTGGCATTTTCTTTTTTTTTAACTCGCTCTCCTCTTCTACAGAGACGATCTGCAGACGCGTTTTTCTGAGATCGAAGGTGCGCTCGACCATTTAATCGAATTGCAAGCCGAGATACGTCGAGAAGAGCAAGAACGCGATCGCATTACCAAACAATCGGCAATGATACGCGAATTGCAGGCACTCGGTACAGCGATGGGTAGTCACGCGTTAAACACGATCACCGATCGTTACAACAGTTGTAAGCGTGACGAAGGTGCTCTCAATGTGATGAAGGAAAATGTGCAAAAATATCAGACGGACACCAATGCTATACTTACTATATATTTCGAACACTTGCTACCCACCTCTGCCACAAGCGAATTGACAGTATTACAATTGCAGCTATGCGATCTACAACAAAATGTACACACAAATGAATTCGAATTACTCCACAGCCTGCTCGAGCAGAGTGGCCGGGAGCAATTATATGCGCAGTGTGATTTCACGCGAAAGGAAATGGATAATACACTCTATCAACAGTGCCGTTGCGCCCTGGAATGCATTGATCTGTTGCAACAATATATCGGTGTTATGCAATTTTATCCACGCTCACGTTTGCTAGAAAACCATTTGCTCAAATATGAGAAAGCTTATCGTGAATTGTTATGCGGAGAGCTCAGCGTAAGCGAGTTGCAACAGCAAATTGAGCAGTGGCAAGAGAGCGCGCCAGTTGATATGGATAGCGTGAAGTCAGAGGTCATGCAGTATGCAGCTGGTTTGGAGAAAGTGTGGATTGAGGCGAATATGGAATTGGCCACGGCTATTAGCGATTTGAATGATCAATCGAATCAAGTGGTGAGTGTTGAGAATAATTTAAGACACAAAAGTGTGGTTATTAAAAGTTGAACCTATATCTTTGAAGTTGCTCTTTGGTCGACTGTCATACAAGAGTTTGTACTAATAAATCCCGAACTTATTTGTTTACCCTGTACATAGTATATTAAGTTTGACACGAAGTTTGTACCTTCGGTTTTTCAGATATCGATCTGAAATTTTGCAAACGCCCTTTTATCCGCTAGAAAATGCTCATTTGTCGAAACTTTTTTATTTGATAAAATATCTTCACGAAATTTGGTTTGATTCTTGTCCAAGACAACGCTAAAATCTCCAAACAAATTGTTCAGATCGGACCACTATAACATATCGCTGCCATACAAACAAATAAAGATTAAGACCTTTTTATCGCCTTTTATGCTGTAAAAAATGCACCTGTGAAAGGTATTATAGCTTCATTGCAGCCGAAGTTAACGTTTTTTCTTGTTTTTTTTTTTCAATAATGTTTTTTTTAGTCAATTTTGTTTGATGGCGCTGTCGCCACAATACACACATTCATCAGCTTAGATCCGGACACCCACACACAAGCGCTGCAATCCTGCATGCTTGAAACGCTGTCGAAGACTAATGATTCGTTTCTGCTCTTCGAAGAGGGTGCTTTGGATACACAAGATTATTATCTGCTCAATCAACAATTGAATTTCATGGAAATGCTACAACAAATGTGTCAAGTAGCATTCCCCGATGCGGATCAACATTATTACGATAATTTACTCACACTCTCTGAAACGCTGCAATCGTTGCATAATTTGAAAACAGCATTTCAACAATCGTTGCCTGAACGTATTGTGCGCTTATACATGCAAGACAACGACGATGAAGTGCAAACAGCTTTGGCTGCAATTTGTGCGCATGCGCCGAACCCTACCGATTCACCGTTACGCAGGAATAACGGCAGTGCTGAAGTGTCGCTGCTTTTCAACGAAATTTACGCGCTCTTCGATGATTTCGAAACGCGTGTGAAACTATTGAGACCCACTGTGGAAATACTATTGGAGCGAATGGGCGAATCCAATTTCAAGCAGTTCGTGGTAATGCCAATTTTTTAATGCTTTGTTGTTGTGACATTTATATTTATCTTTCTCATATGCATAGGAATCCCGCTTGTTTACCAACGCCACATCAATGATCGATAACACCTTGAAATATGATGTAATCGCCAATATTTTCCGTTCGGCACGCGATAATGTTAAAGCATTGCTACACAACGACACACAACAAATATACGATGTGCGTAGCTTTTCAGCATCCATTAACGATTACATTTACACCATGCAACACACAATACTCGCCGGCCTGCCATCACTTTTCGCGCATATGCTACACGGCAGGTTGACCACGCTCGCCGCTCAATACCCGAATTTGCGTTGCTTGGAAGCTGCTACACTGTTGAATGCCGAGGGTTTATGCCAGAATCTGTTGCATGCCTTACAGCAAGGTTTCAGCGGCAAGAACTATCAAATGCAGGTGCTCTTGCACACCAAATGGGCTGAACATTGCGCGCTCGTTGGCAGCGCACACTTTTGGTTGAATGAAGCAGCGCTGCAGCAGACAGAAACACAGTTGATGTATGGTTTTCCGAAGGAAAAACTGCTGAAATCAGTGCAAGCTTGCAGTCAGTCAGTGAGCGCTTGGAAGCACACAATGATAAAGATACACGAAGATGTGGAGGAGTATACAGCTGCCGTGACGCAGCAGCTGAACTGGGCATTGCAATCGAATGGCAGTCTGCTGTCATTGCAAGCCGACTTTATGGAATGTGTAAAGGCACAGCTGCTGCGCTACAATGGTCTGTTGCAATCGGCTACACAGATATACGATTATGCCAATGCTTTGTTGCAATTCGAATTGCTGCAGAGCAAGGATAATCGCATACAGGCTGATAATGCTTTTCTCGCTGTGCTGCAACAGTGGCAGGACGCCGTGGCCTCAGTGCAGCAGAGTAACGCAAGTATTACGCCAATTGAGCAATCAATTGTGCAGCTCTTAGATCCGGAGGGTAAAGTGGATCAGTGTTGGATAGAGAATATTGCTGGTTTGCTGGATGAAATGACGTTCGCTTCACAGCGCAAACTGGCCACACTGGAGCATGAGGAAGATGCTCTGAAAGAGGGACTTTTCGAGCAGGGACAGCAGATGCTGGTGAGTAGCTTTACAAATATTATATATATATAAATAATTTTTTTACGTACTGCTGTAACAGCTGAGGAGAAAACTGTTTTAGGATCCATGAAAGAAAACGTTATGAACACATAAAAAAATTATTGAGCCTTTCTTAGCCTCCAAAATTCACTCACCACTTGGCAAAAGGTTGTTTGAAAGGATGCCCGTTTAGATCCGATTTTCATAC